ATTCTTGTGATTAAGATCTTTCAGCTTGTATGATCATTAAAATCACAATTGGGTCATTCCGTGTCAAATCAACCAGATTTCAAAAAAGTTCCAGTATGACCCGCTCAGATTTTGATGAAACTCCATAAAAATGATCCACTATGTGAAAAACCAACAATTGAAAAAATTAGTGTTATAGGTTTTGTAGTTTCCGAGATATTGACTCCTCAAAAAATGGGCGTGGCCCTTCAAGATGCGCAAACACAATTTCCTCTAACTTTGGAAGCTTATAACTCTGGATTGGTAATAGCTATGAAGGTCTAACTTATATTCCACCATATTACACAAATATGGCATCAGATTAACTGTTATCCCTTCTTTTTTGAAGTTATCTGCACTCAAGATAGCCACTTTGTTTAACAACGCAATTTTTTTGTGATTTTCAATGTCACCCTGTGTCCATATGAGTGAGTGTATACACTGTCTCTTATACACATCTAGATGTGTATAAGAGACAGGAGTATGCCTAGTCGTGCGCTTGTACTCGTCGCACGAAACTAGTACATTCAATGCCACAACACCCTACCAGGTACCCATTTATATTCCTGGGTAGAGACACAAACGTAGATATAGTTAAAGTGCATTGCCTTAAGGACACAAGCGACTTGCACAGCGAGAGTTTCGAACCCCTGACCTCAAGAACACAAGCGACTTCAAACCCCTCCCCTCAAGGCTGGGAGTCCAAGTCATAACCAATGCGCCAACCGCTTCTACGTACGTATTGTTTGTTTTTAATGGTCAACGAATGAAATCTCTCTGTCCACACTATTAAATTTTAGTTGACAAATAAATGTGACGTGTTCATAATGGGTGTAGTATTATTTCATTATGCGCATATATGGGTACGTCACACAGGTTTGTCACATAAAATTTGAGAGTGTTCATATTTTTATTCGAAATCGATGATGTGTTCTGTCCTTCCTTTAAGATGATGGATCTACAGCATACAAACATAAATCGATTCGTAGGCGCTTGCACCGTGGCCCCTAACATCTGCTACATCATGGTCTACTGTAACAAAGGCAGCCTCGCAGATGTACTGGAAAACACTGACATTTCTATCGATGAGAATTTTAAATTATCATTTGCTTCAGATATAGTACAGGTAAAGGTATTTTACTTAATGTTAAATAGTATACAGCGGGATATTAAGTAAACGTCTCTTTCATTATCTTTCATACTTTCTTGTCTTCCTACTTCATGTCTCTAGATATGTGATTCAATGATCATAAGTCGAAAAACTATGCTTGCATCTTCGTCCCAAAACTGTTATTATTTAAAAATAAACATATCTGTGTCAAATTATCATTTATTATCATTATTGATATTGTTCATTATTATTATTCTATTATCATTCAATCTCATTTCTAATTCCTTTTCATTTTTCTAATTTAATGGATATTCGGTGTTTCTTTTTAAATATAAATACTAGGGATTGCACTTTCTGTCAAATAGTCCGATGAAACAACATGGCAACCTTAAGTCTTCAAATTGTGTTGTGGACAGCCATTGGACCTGTAAATTAACCGATTTTGGTTTGGTTGAATTTAAAAAGAATGAAGAAATGGAAGACGATATAGATGAAAACACAGTGTGCCGAAGTATGTTGATAGTTACGTAGGCCTAAACGCAATTTTTTCCTACCTCTTTAAAGTGTCCTTAACAGGCTATTGATAAATGCCAGATAATATTTAAAATACCATTATCAACTAGGGTAATCCAGCCAGTGATGCAGATTAATGTTCAACCTAAATGCTCTATCACGTCAGTTTACGAAGTTTGGGGTTTGGTTGGAGAACCGATTGTTTATAACTCTATGATAAGGCTAGGGGAGTAGAGAGCTGATCTTGGGATCTACGCCTTCGAGAAATTGAGAGCTAATCATTTTATATATTGGATCCTTAACAGCCTTTATCATGAGATAAGTCGAGATCTTTTCTAATTTATTTTAGACCATCGATGATCTATAACCGAGTATCTATGAGAGATTCTAACAGATAATTCTTAAACCCCTAGACCTATAAATAATAATTGCCTTTTAATCACACTTTGAACATTTGTAATTTTAATATGTGCATCTCCAATTAGAATTACTTTGGACAGCTCCTGAAATATTGCGTCAGAAAACTGCGACACCGTCAACAGAGGGCGACGTGTATGCCTTCGGCATCATTCTTCAAGAGATCATCCTCCGGACCGGACCTTTCAGCAGCCTACTGGAAATCGTTGAACCAAGGGGTGAGCTCTCATCATATTGTAATCAATATTATTCAAACAGAAGCAGATCTTGCTGAGTACTTTCATAATTTTCTTCATTGCTACCGCGACGAGAAGGGGGGGGGGGGGGTGGTTCGGTGCGATCGCGCACCCCTTGAACTGTTTTAAGAAAACTAATTGTTGATATGAATTACCGGTAAGATTTTTAAGCTATGAGATTACAACTTCCGGGCACCTGGAGGCTCATATTCTCAAAATGTTCACACATCAGCCCCAACAATGGTGGGCTAAGGTGGTGTGGACTACCACGCGCCCCCTACCGCCGAATCCTGCATCCGCCCAGTGCGTGTCTCACAAACACGTGTTGTCCCACAACATCACGTGTTTGCGTATATGTTGTTACATTGTCGTTTTGTGGGCCCTTAGCAACAATATCCAAGGGGCGGGGGATTCCCAGAAATTAGGTCCATATTGCCACAGACAATCAACAGACGGCATCGCACCATTAAGCGATCACACAGAGCGGAGATAGATTTGTGCTTACCTTTCTTTAAACAACCCTTTCTTCTTTGACATTTTTTTCTTCACACCTTCCTTCTTAAATACATTTAAATAATCTCATACCTACTATTATTTTATGCCCACTCATATTCTTCGTTGGCTTATCTTTTCAAAATCCCTTAATTTACTTCTGCCATACCTCTTGATTGATTACTTTAATTTTCTTCTCAGTTTAATTAAATGTTCATTCACACGCACGCCTTCAAAAGCTTTCAGCATATTTTAGAATTAGATCGATTTTACTCTTGTGATGGTTGCTTTTGCTTTTAACTGCAATTTGTATGTTTCCGAGGTACAACAACCTTTTTGACTATCATCATTTCCCTTCGCAGGCAGAATACTGATACTTATAATTGTCAATAATACTGACAGCCTCATGATATTTAGAGCAGTGATGAAAAATGTTCATACTCGTTTGTAAATACATTTTTTGAAAAGAAAATGGAGCACAGGGTGGCATATAAGAATGGAGGGAGGTCAACACAAGTGGATTACATCTTATATAGAAAGTGTAACTTAAAGGAGATTAGAGACTGCAAAGTGATCCCAGTGGAGAGTGTTGTCAAACAACACCGAATAGTGGTTTGTAACATGACACTAATAGCTAAAGTACATAAGGAAATGCGGGCTCAACCTAGGATCAAATGGTGGAGGTTGAAAGAAAATGAATGTGCCACAAATTTCATGGGCAAAGTAAAAGAGGCACTCGACGGAATTGATGATGTAGAAAATTGGAAAACTGTCACAAACCTGGTAAGGAGTGCAGCTAGCATAGTGCTAGGTGTATCCTCTGGACAGAGGAAGAAAGACAAGGAAACCTGGTGGTGGAATGTTGATGTACAGGACAGCATAAAAGGGAAGACGCTGGCGAAAAAGAACTGGGATTGCCTAATGGATGAGGAAAGGAAAAGGATATATAAGGAAGCAAGACGTGAGACAAAAAGAGCGGTGGCAAAACATAGGAAAATGCATACGAGGAGTTGTATGAACGGTTAAATACAAAGGAAGGGGAGAAGGACTTGTACCGACTTGGAAAACAAAGGGACCGTGCTGGAAAGGATGTGCAACAAGTACGGACTATTAAGAATGTAAATGGAAATGTGTTGACAGACCAGTTGAGTGTACTGAAAAGATGGAAGGAATACTTTGAAAGGTTGATGAATGAGGAAAACGAAAGGGAGCAACGGGTGGAAGAGGTAGATGAAGTAGACCAAGGTATACCACAAATTAGCGAGTATGAAGTGAGAGAAGCTTTGAAGAAGATGACTTAGAAAAAGCTTATGATAGGGTACCAAGAGAGGAGCTGTGGTATTGCATTAAAAAGTCAGGAGTAGCAGAGAAATACGTGACGCTTGTTCAGGACATGTATCAAGGTAGCACCACAGTAGTGAGATGTGCCATAGGAACAACGTAGGGTTTTTCAGTTGAGGTGGGTTTACACCAAGGCTCGGCACTGAGCCCTCTCTTGTTTTTAGTTGTGATGGATAGATTAACAGATGAGTTAAGACAGGAGGCCCCATGGCCTATGTTGTTTGCAGATGATATAGTTATATGTGCAGAGAGACGTGTACGGGTTGAAGAGAGTTTGGAAAATTGGAGATATGCCTTGGAAAAAGGGGGAATGAAGGTCAGTAGGAGAAAGACTGAGTATATGTGCGTAAATGAAGGAGATCAGAGAGAAATGGTGACCCTGCAAGGAAACTAGATTAAAAAAGTGGAGGAGTTTAAGTACTTGGGATCAACTGTTCAGAACAATGGCGGGTGTTACAAGGAGGTCAAGAAGCGAGTGCAGGCAGGCTGGAATGGGTGGAGAAGAGTAACTGGTGTACTGTGATCTGTGACAGAAGGGTGTCGGCGAAAATGAAGGGGAAAATCTACAAAACAGTGGTAAGACCAGCTATGGCGTATGGTTTGGAGACAGTGGCCCTAACCAAAAGACAGGAGGAGGAGATGGAGGTTGCAAAATTGAAGATGCTACGCTTCTCCCTTGGTGTAACAAGAAAGGATAAGATCAGAAATGATTTCATTAGAGGATCTGCTCATGTAAGGCGATTTGGGGACAAGTTGAGAGTGGCGAGGCTGAAATGGTATGACCATGTATGCAGAAGAGACGTGGAGTACATTGGAAGTAGGATGTTGGAAATGGAGCTACCATGTAGGAGAAAAAGAGGAAGACCTAAGAGGAGGTATATGGACGTGATAAGGGAGGACATGAAGGAACTAGGTGTGAATGAGGAGGATGTGATGAACAGGACGAAGTGGAGACGACTTGTTTGCTGTGACGACCCCTGAAGGGAGAAGACGAAAGAAGAAGACTCGTTTGTAAAAATTAAAAAATCCGAAAGGATTAAACTTTAAGTAATTAGATTGAAAGATTGACTAATTTACATTTAATGAAAAACAAGCTAGAATCAATTAGGGAAAAGTTAATGTAGTTAATGTAAAGTAGACAATTTAATTTTGAATAATAAATATAATATGAAGGCCTATATAAATAAGACTTTTCGTTTGAATCACAACGGCGTGTGCATTCTTATTTGGAGTATTTTTACACGGAAATTTGTATTTCTTTCTCTTTAATGACTCGATTCATGTTCTGCTTCTTATGGCCTGACAACCAATTGGAAAAAATTACCGTATTCTCCGGGAATAATCGCCCGGGTAAATTTTTTGGTCACTTTGTGAGGGGCGCTTATTCAAACGAGGCGCTCCTGTTAAAGGGGGTTCTTACTAGAACTTGGAAAATTCAAGTGGCGCTTTTGAACTTTGATCTTTTTTCCTGATTGATTGATTAATAGATCTTCTTTGTATGGACGGCCGTTAGGGCCAATATACTCTACTGCCTCTATTATACTTCCCCCATCGAAGCTTTTGAGAGTACGACTCCCTGTTTAATGAAATAAAGAAAATATTATTCATAGTACCCCTATGAACGAAACCCAGATTATGTAACAATATATAATCGAATAAAATTATTATGGAGGATTATAAACAACATAAATGACAACTGTCAGAATATTTGCTCTTTACGAGTTTGTTTTATTCACAAAGACAACCGGTAAAGTACCTACCGGTATATTTTAAACTGTATATAAATAAATAAAACATTCAAGATTTTTGCATGCGAGAGTGTTGAGACCGACCGACAATGCTGAGATGCGAATAGTTGATGCATCGGACAGAAAATTAAGTCGTACTGTACAGTATGGTTGATTTATTTTTTAGGAATTGCTTATTCAAACGGGGCCGTTCACAATCAAACGGGGTACTTAAGAAAATGTTTACGTTAGGAGGGGTGCTTATTGAAATGGGGCGCTTATTCGCTTGAGTACGGTATGATGCTTACAGTTTTAACGAATATTAACCTGGAGAAATGCTTCTAACTATATAAAACGAAAACTATATATGCCTCTTTTCGTGTTGAATAGATTTAATCCAATCAGTGAGGTTCGGCGTTGTTCCGAAGGTTCGTCCATCCGTCCCCATGAGTTCATGCAAGGAACAAATGCTCAAACTGATGAAATCTTGTTGGGACGAAGATCCACTAAAAAGACCAACAATTCCAAAAATCAAATCAGAACTTAAACAGATTTCAGGTGGGAGGTAGGTTATTTTTCCTCGATGATAGTTTTCTGCTTTTTGAAGTATTCGTGTTTGAAGTAAATTCTGTGTTTTGTCGTAATTGTTTACTTTGATTCCTTTTATTGTACACTGCATATTTATTGTTTCAGAATAAGTAATATTATAGACAATATGATTAGTATGATGGAGAAATATGCAAACAACTTGGAAGAGTTAGTTCACAATCGGACGTTACTGCTCGAAGAGGAGAAGCATAAAACAGAGCAACTTCTTGGCCAAATGCTACCGAGGTACTTTTTCATAAAATATTATATAATAACCCTCTTTTTCTGAAATTCACCACCCAGACATTGCACATTTTCAACTCAAATTAATTTTAAAATTTATTGCAATGTGTAAATTAAATACACTTGGTATAAAGCTAATTGTACGAACGAATTGTAGGCCTAGTATCCTATAAACAAATAAAGTATTTATAAATTTACTCAATGGATTAATAATAAATTAACTTCTATACTTTTGTGGCCGTGGTTAGTTTTAGTACTTAATTATTATTTTTTATTAAAAAAAACCCCGGTAGAACCAGGGAACGGTAAAGGTTGCATAAAACTGGTCTTTAATTGGAGATGGACTTTAATTGCAGGGTCTTTAGTTGGAGTTTACGTGAATTACAGGGAGCCGTATTGGCAAAGATTAAAATATCAAATATTTCGGTTTTCTTTCCCAAGACAATCAGAAAATTGATAATTAAGGATATATAAAAATAAACTGCGCATGCCTTTATCCAAGGTCAATAGACATGCTGTGTGTACTGTATGTTTGTTTGTTCAGTCGATTGACCTTAATACGGGCATGTGCAGTTCAAACTTCGAACTGGCTTATTGGCAAGGAAGGTATTTCCTCTTTTTTGTTTCCAATTTTACAAATTTAAATCATATACAAAGCAAGCAAATTCAGTATTGAATTGTATTGTTTGGCTCAACTCAGATATCGTCAAATATATTCATCCACAGTGTAGAGTACTTTGTCGGTGTATTTCATCTATGCCTATTATATTTTATTAAATGAAGTATGCCTAGTAGTTATGCGCATTTTTTCCTTTATCGATATTGTAGATCTGTTGCCGAACAGTTGAAGAAGGGCCAGCAGGTGGAAGCGGAGTATTTTGACGAGGTTTCTATTTACTTCAGTGATATTGTCGGCTTCACAAAATTAGCGTCAGAGAGTACACCTTTAGAGGTGAGATAGATGTAGCAATTTAATTTAATGAATATACCTAGCAACATATCGCCATGTCACTGGCATTCTTGTAATTGTATATATATATATATATATATAACGATATTTAGTAAATAGGTAAAGACCCAACGGGTATATCTTCAATAAATCGTGATAGGCCTATTTTTTATTCCAAAGCATTGCGGATTCACTTGAGCAGTGAAACACATCGTGTATTGTGCAAACTTGGCAGATTTCATCTTAAAAAACGCGGAGAGATAACAGTAAAAGTAGGTGCATTATTCTTTATAACATAATATTGATATTCATAAAATTCTGTGATAATTGATAGATCTGCTACCTCTAATTAATGCTTCACGTATGTTCCGATATGTCGGCCCTACTCATAAAATACAGTAACAGTAAAAGATGCTTCTATAATTTTAATAAAAAAAAAAAAAAAAAACTCTTTTGTTGCTGCTGTACAAAGTCCTCAGCAAAGTGAATTTTCTCCTGCTGCCCGCTCCCAAAACTGACAGAATTTTGGCATTACGCATTCTGGCTAAAAAAAACCGTAAAGAATACCGCCAAGCTCTTTTTGCCGCTTATGTCGATCTGAATGCAAGTTTTGACGCAATCTACAAATAACTTTTGAGTCTCCTCGCATTCGCGGTATTCCACACAAAACTGTGGTACCAGTCAGCGATAAACCTCAAGAACAACACGTAATAATGATACTGTTCTATATCCGCTCCATTACTTCCTTTTACGAAAAATGATTGTCTTCTTTTTTTCTTATTGTGTTTTTTAGGGAAAGGATCCAATAACCACATACTGGTTGACAGGAAAGGACGGGTTTGAGTTTGATTTACCAGATGTATCCACTGCTGTAATGGCGGAAGAAAATATTCTTAAATAACACATATCAAGCTTAGAATGTTTTGTGCAAACCAATAGGCCTAAGTATCGCTGAATGGACCACCTTTGTTGAACTCGAACCAAAGGCTGTGCCTTGTGATATGTCTCTTCATCGTCGCGGAACAGTCATAAGCTGGTTTCCATACAATCGCTACGCGTTATCGCCGACAACTATCGGTAATGCTGATTGGTCGGTAAAATCGGGGAGGCTTCTTGATTACGTCGGGGACTGCTACGCAGTACAACGATTGCACTGAAAACACTGTAGCGACAGTGTAGCAATTTTAAGAAAACCAGCCTTTAAGCCATCTTGAGAATTATTAAATATTTTTAATATACGACGCGACTGTCGACAACGCGTGCAGAGTTTAACTCAGCTCACACAGACCCGACGCGACAACAAATCGCGTCGGGCTGCTCACAGATAGCGCTTTGGAATAGTCAGTCAGGCGTAGATCTCGGGGGGGGGGATATACCCCCCCAATATTTGACAAGGGGGGGATAGTCCATTGTATCATCCCCCCCAATATTTTAACTATGTATGGGATAAAATGGAGCTTTACACACTTCAAAAGACTGTCACAGAAATAATTTGCACTGTCTTATGCGCTTACAAAAATGAAAATTAGCATAATGTATAAATGTTGATAATAAAATTATTTTATCTGGTACCAATCTAAGCTCTTCTTTCCTTAGATGTTAGATGTGCTTGCAAAGAGAGCCACATTTCACACTGAAGTGTGTGTACGACATCAGTAATGTTATGTCAATTCCAAGGTTATATCGGTTGATGGGGAATTTATTGATTAGGCCTATAATAGTAAATTGCATCAATTTATTTTTCAAAAACAAGGTTTCCAGCTTCAGAGGGGGTCACTTCCCCTGTCCGCATAAGGGCACACATTGGCGCTAACACCAGGCGCGTAACAGGGGTCTTGGGTCAGAGTGGGTATTTATTTATTTTATTTTTTAAATTTTTTATTTCAACCATCTTTAAAGAGGTAACCCTTCTAGTTTAGCCCGGTAGGTTAACTGATATTCAGGGGCCCTCTTTAATAAAATTAAAGAACAGTACAAACAACATCATTACAACATAATAATAATAAATATAAACATTTTCATCATGGTTTTATTTATTACAAACATATTCTTTCGCCATCTATACACATTGAGGCCCTCCTTTTAGGTGAAAATGATCTATCTTAAATTTGTCTTTCCTGAGTTTGGGACTTTTTCTTGAGTTTGGGACTTGTGTTTAAATACCGGTAACTTGAAAGGATAAAACTAAAAAAGCCCTAAAAAATGCGCGTCAAGCGCGCGAAATATTTTTGTGTTTTTAATTCTAATTTCGTCGGAATTGATAAAAAAAAAAAAACTCCCTAAAATGTGCAATTTATAGAGGAAATTGGCCTACCGTAACAAGAAATGCGCGCAATGAATTTGAGAATTTTAGGAACTTTCAGAGGATGCATTTGTCTTATCTTATTTATAATATAGGCCACACACGTGTGTTTGAACTAAATATAAGCATTTTCATCATGGTTTTATTTATTACAAACATATTCTTTCACCATCTATACACATTGAGGCCCTTCTTTTAGGTTAATGATCTATCTTAAATTTGTCTTTCTTGAGTTTGGGACTATTATGTGTTTAAATAACTCAAAAAGGAAAAAACTAAAAAGCCCTAAATAATGCCCGCCAAGCGCGCAAAATATTTTTGTGTTTTTAATTCTAATTTCGTCGGAATTGATGAAAACTCCCTAAAAATATGTGCAATTTATAGGGGAAATTGGCCTACCGTAACAAGAAATGCGCGCAAAGAATTGAATTGGAGAAGGGGTTGCAGGGTGTTGTAAGTCTGGTCATTATGATATCTTCCTTTTTATTCTTGTCTTTATTTTTCTCTTCTCTTTTCTTTCCTTTTCTTTTCCTCTTCTTTCTCTTTCCCTCCCTCTCCCCTCTTTCTTTTCTCTTATTACCCAGCCCGGTACGACGGCTTGGGCAGCCCGGTAAAAACCGTCAGGGGAGGGGCAGTTTCCCCTGCTCCCCACCCCGCGCCAGTTACGACACTGGCTAACACGCCAATCATCCCCCCCCCCCAACCAATGAAAAATACTTTCCTACGCCACTGAGTAGTGTCACAGGACCGTCGTAAGAAACAGTGAGTGCCTGGCTTAAGTAATCGTTCAGGTATAGACTAGGCCTATATAGGAGGCGTAATTCTTGCCAACATGCCAGCAGAGTTTTATTGTAAAAGCATATTTTTAATAACTTAATGAGAAAACCTACATAATGAAAATGAGTATTCCTTTAGTTAATAGGCATACTTTATAAATACATTGTGTATTCTAAAAGTTGTGCATTTGCTCCCAAATCAATAAATTTGATGAGTATGGAAACGAAACTTTTACTCTACGTTATGATAAGGATGTATCTGTAGATAAGCGATTCCACAACCTATACAGTATGTTTAATTCTACATGTCTGTCATCATATCCAAACGCCGGGTAAGTGATGTCTTCCGATCGATGGGTTGCAGTCAATTCTTTGCGTACTCTGATTTAACATAATAATAATCTTGTAGTAACCAAGTATCATATATTATTCATCCCGAATAAAATATTGGACGGCTTGAAATTAAACACAAACCATGTTGTATGTGTAAAAATGTATGCAGCGCCCTCTAGAACTATTAAAGACTTGTCTTCTTTGTTGTTAATTGATTTTACGTTCATCGATTACTGAAGAGAATTATGGGCATGTGTTTTCTTCTTGATGAACCAAAGTAGCTGAGCGTTGGAAAATTAATAAACGTTACAATAGATATATCCATTTACTGCTCACTCATACGGGTCATTTGCAATACTTGTATCGTCAAATACCTTGTTATTATGATGATGCCTTAATTACGTAACAATGACCGTCTTATTTATTTATTTATATTATTATATTTTTCAAGAAATTGTATGCACTGTACTTCCTCAAGCTGTATTTACAAATTGACAGGTGTAAATAGCTAAAATTTCTTAATAAGTATTTTCCGAACTAAATACTGTGTATAGTTTTTCGTTGTCGATTTGAAACAAAAAAAAATAAATAAACGAAAATCCAAATGTCATAATAAATATATTTAGAGAGACACCTAAATGATAATATATATCTCCGCGTGTAACATATAT